GCTGTTATCTCTGTTGGGGCCTGGGCTGCCCTATTGATGCTCCTGGACACCCCGTCTGAGGCCATAGGGTGAGTTGCTAAGGCTGCTGCCTCTGGGCGCAGAGGTTGGAGGACCCCATTAATGCCACACAAGGAAGGTGGGGAACAACATTCGTAAACATCCCTGCCCAGTGAGACTTGCTCAGGGTCCCAGCTGATGAGTGACAGGGCCAGCTTCATACCTAGGCCCACTGGTCTTGTAGCCCTTGGGCCTTGGAGGCTAGGTGAGGTGGGGTGAGGAAAGGGTATTCAGAGACGGACACTGTCACAGTTTCCAGTTCGTGGGAGGCCTGTGAGCCAGTGGGCAGAGATGCAGGAATGAGTGCATACGACCGTCCCTCAGAGGCCTTGGGCCGAGTCAGGTGCTTTCTGAGATAAAGATGGAACTTTTCTGCTAAAGACAGTTTTCCAACCTTTCCCCGGAGGTCTCCCTAAGGGCAGAGGACAGTGAACATGTCACCCCGAGGGGTCTGGGGGTGCAGCCCGAAGCAGCCGCAGAGCCTGCAGGAGTTTCTGGTTTTATCTTAAAATTCATGCGCATTTTACATTCTGCTCCATCTCATATCCGGTCTGTTGTGTACACATCCCACCTGAGTAACAGCATGCCTTGGGAAACTGCTCCGCGTTTATCTGTTTATCCTGGGGCTTTTTGTACCCCAGGTCCTCGGTTGTGTCCCTTGGGATTGTGTTCCAGTCCACAAGCTCAGCCACAGATGGTGGGGGATGTGTGTGTGTGGGGGGTTGTACGCCCATGTGCATGTCAGAAAGGTGGCCTTGGTGGCCTATAGGGAGGAGGAGGGCTTGGCGGGGAGAGTCTCCGGCACCAGGAGACCCAGAGGTGCAGGGTGTGGGGAGAACAGGCCTGCGAACCACAGCCCATAATGCCCGTCCATGTGACACTGACTTGAGATTATGCTCCGTGGCCCTGACTGGTTTCCTTAAGAGAAACATTTACAGAAAGAACAAGAGATCACCTGTTCGTCTTCATACATCAGGATGCGCCATATAAAGCTGCCACGTTTGTGGATCCAAACTGATTGAGTTTTGGCAATTTCAGAAGGTTCACGCAGCCTCTTTTGGGGCGGCTGCCCTACAGACCACTCAGCTGGCAAAGGCTCCTGCTGCCCTGTGTCCTGCATCTGTGGTGTCTGCTCCTCAGTGACCTCGCTCTCTGCCGTTTATCTTGTATTCTGGAGAGCAGTTTTACCCCCAAAACAGCCAATGAGAGGGGCTCTGGGTCTGTCCCGTGAACACAGAGGAAGAATGAGTGCTGGACGCCACCATGAAGGTTCTGGGAAGCTTGGTACCTTCAGGGACAAAGCTGGGGAGGCCGATGGTCAAGCTCAGTGGGTGTCTTAGGTCTTGATAGACGTCCTTTTCATGCAGGAGCCCCAGTTCCGGTCGCAGCCAACACGCCTCGCGCATCATCACCAACTCTCTGTCAGTGGAGGCTTGTTTGTGGCCAGATAGGTTTCAATGGTGCTTCCAGACTAGGTCAGACTAGGAAGAAGGGCCTGCCAATTCACTTCTGAAAATCAACCAGTGAAGCCTCTTTGGATCGTGACTATCTATCTAATCACCAAACCAAACCATGGGGACGGTATAGGCCTGGGCAGCATGTCAATCTGCCGTGCATGGTTTAACTCTGAGTCAGAGGCAACTCTGGTCCGCTAACCACAAACAAGGTGCTTATCAGGTGCCGTCCAGTCGGCTCCGAGTCATAGCGACCCCGTGTATGAGAGCAAACACTGCCCGGTCCTGTGCTGTCTTCACAGTCCTTGCTGTGCTTGAGCCCATCGTTGTAACCGCTGTGTCAGTCCATCTCATTTCCCTTCTTTGCTGACCCTCCACTTTACCAAGCATGCAGCCTTCTCCAGGAAATGGTTCTTTCTGACATGACCAAAGTAGGTGAGACGAAGTCTGGCCATTCTCACTTCCAAGGAACGATGCACATAGACCAAGAACAAGGGGACATTGCATGTTAAAACAGGAAGGGTGTATGTCAGCGTTGTATCCTTTTACCATACTTATTCAATCTGTATGCTGAGCAAATAATCCAAGAAGCTGGACTATACGAAGAGTGTGGCATCAGGATTGGAAACAATGGGGGGGAGGGGGGCTGGTCCTCAATTCCCAGGCACTTCCAGCTCTCCTGGAGGTATCGGCAAAGCTGCTCCAAAACCCAGGGGCAGCCCTGGAAAGGGTTCCGTTTTGGATGTGTGAATTGGGGTGCCTTTGAGACATCCAGTGGGTTGGGTTGAAGTCGTAGCAGCTGAGGTTCTCAGAGCCCCCACACTGTGCTGGACACCTTCCATGCCTCTGCAGCAGCCCAACGGAGCCCTGGTCTGGCTCGGGCCCACAGAAGATGCTCCAGAAATGCCTGTGGAGTGAATGAAGATCTTTCCTCCTGAACAGGAGGGCTTCCCCAACATCAAGGAGAATCAGAGGATGGGTGCCGGCTCTCTGCTTGGGCCTCACAGCATTTTCTGGGTGCGTAAGCCTCAGCCCCTGCCCCAGAGGTGCTTGTCCAATGGGAAGGCCAGAACAGATGGCTAAGAGTGGAGATGAGATTGCGGGTGATGCTCAGATGGTGTTCAGCTCGGGACAGGCACATCGTGGTGCTTCATCAGGGACAGCTGTGGTTACCGAGGACTGGCTGCTTGGCTCTCCTGGGGCCTCTGAGAGCAACAGGCCACGCTCTGGAGGTTTCAGTGACTCCCTGTGCAGAGGGCTGTGGGCAGGCCTGGGACCTCGGCCTTCCCAGGGTCATGGTGCTTGGTGCGAGGATGGGCATGTGAGGTTCTTCTTGGAGCTGCTGCATCAGTCTGACTCAAGGTCTGTCCCTTCTGGCCATCCAGGCAGCCAGCTTGACTGCATATGGAAGTAATGACCAGGGACAGGGGTAGGACAGTGCCCCAAAAGAAGTATGAGAATGGGGCTGTGGAAGGTGCAAGGCTTTCAAGTTGGGCGCATATAGAGCACATCTGGTACTCCCTCAGTGGTGAGAGGACCGCCAATAGACCCTTTCCCTGCTCAGAGCCTCAGTTTCCCCATCTATGCACTGGAGATAATCCTGGCTACCTCATCAGGATGACATAATGAGGGACAGTGTGTCTCGTGGGACTGGTCCCTCACTTTGGGGTCGGACTGTGTCCTTTCCTTCCCACGTCTGCTCAAATTTTCCAGCGAGAGCTCAGATCCGAGGACCAGCTGCAGGGTCAGCATGGATCCCCCCATAGGACTGCCCTGTGCGGTGGGCTCCTGGCTCAGATTCCAGGCCCCTCTGCAGGGTCCCTCAGCCCACACCCATGTCCTCTCCCTCCCCATGGGCCTCTAAACTGTCTCATCCCCCATCTTTGCCCCCTGCCGCTGAGAGACTGCTGCCTGGCCAGAGGACACAGCTTGTAGTGATTTCCAGAGCCCAGCTCAAACCGTGTCCTCCAGCCGGGACACCCCCAGGCAACACTCACTCTGTGAAATGGGGTATATTTGTTTTCTTTGGCTGCTGTAACAAACTACCACATACTCAGTGGCTTAAAACAACACAAATTTATTATCTTACAGTTCTGTAGGTTAGAAGTCCACTGGAGTGTCACTGGGTTAAAATCAAGGTACCAGCAGGATAGTGTTCTTTTTCAGAGCTCTAGAAGCTTGGCGGTTCAAACTCAGAAGGAGGATGGGGCAATCTACTTCCGTAGTCGTACTGCCTCAGAAACCCAAGGAGGGGTCACTATGAGTCGGGGCCAACTCGACGGCACATAACACAACAACAACTGGGGAGAATCTAGGAGCTCTGGTGGCATAATGCCTAAAGCATGTGGCTGCTGACCAGAAGGCTGGCGGTTCAAACCCCCCCAGCCACTCCTCGTAAGGAAGGTTGGGTAATCTACTTTCTTAGTGATACCGCTTTGGAAACCCAAGGAGGGGTCGCTATGAGTCGGGTCCGACTCGACGGCAGTGAGTGTGGTTTTTTGGTTTAGGGGAGAATCTGGTTCCTTGGCTTTTCTAGCATCTAGAAGCTGCCTGCAATTCCTTGGCTGTGGCCCCTTTCTCCATCTTCAAAGCCAGCAATGGCGGGTCAAGCCCTTCTACGCCACGTCAGACTGACCTCCTCTCTGGTCCCCCTTTTCTGCTTTTAAGGACCCTTGTAATTATACTGGACCTACCCTGATACATCCAGGATAATCTCCCTATTGTAAGGTCAGCTGATTCGCAGCCTTAATTCCATCTGCAGATCTCATTTCCCTGTGCCGTGTAACATAACACAGTCACAGGTTCCAGGGATTAGGACATGACTATCTTTGGAGTGCCAGAATACTATGTACTTCATGTTGTGGTGCAGTATATGCCTGGCATGCAGTAGGTGCTCAGTAAACACTGCAGCCGTGGGGAGATGGTTAAGAACATGGACTCTGGTGGAGATGGCATCCAGCTCCTCCTGTGATCTCAGGAAGGTCACTGAACCTTTCAGTGCCTCGGTGTCCTCATCTAGTACATCAGAGACAAGAAATCGCACTGCCTTCTAGGGGCTTGTGAGGATGGACTGAGTTAATCATGTAAAGTCCACAGGGAGGGCACTGCCTGCCACACTGCCACAACCGTATCAGTGTTATTGGTAAGGGTCACAGTCATGGTCAGGGGGGTAGGGTCATCCTATGACACTGTGGCCAGCAGCAGTGTTCTGAGTGCTGTTGGCCCGTTTGTCCCCACCATCAAGCAGCCTCCAGCTGGAGGAGGCTTGGGATGGAGGTGGGGCTCCCTCTGGCCGGGCGATAGGGTGAAAGACCACAGCCTTTGGCATCAGGCCTATGTTTGAGTCCTAGCCCTGCCACTTTTGAGTTGGGTGTCTGACCTCAGGCCACTCTGTACCTCAGCCGACATGGCTATAAAATGGGGCAAATGAAAGTCCTTAGAGAAAATGAGCCGGCATGTGTGTAAGGATGCTCTTGTTCTCTGTTGCAGCCTGTGCCCTTGTGAGGCTGGCATGCAGGATGGCAGGACAGCCCAGCCCCATGCCCCACGGAGGGAACCCAAACAACCTCTGCCACAACCCAGGGCCTGCACATCCTCCCGACCCACAGGTAAGCTCTTTTCCTTTGTCTGCAGCGTGTTAAAGAATTTCAGAAGAACATAGATCCCCAAGGCTGCTTTCTATAAGCTCCCATCCCTTTGGCAGCATCTAGGCAAAGCCCTTTCTTGAATACTTCCAGTAACAGAGCTCATTACCTCATTGAGTGAATTCTTCATTTAATTCAGCAAAGAAGCCTCCTCTGTGCCATACCCAGGGCAGAACTTTTCCGTGTGAACAGAAAAGCTTTATCTCAGAGGGATCAGTGCTGGTTAAAGGGACATTGAAGTGGCTGTGGGCACTCAGAGGAGAGAGTAAGGGATTTGCCGGAAGGCAGAGAATGAGCTTGGGGGCCATATTCAGAAGCAGTAAGTTATTTACGCTGAGACAAAGTCTGCCCCCCCTTTGGTCTTAACTGCACCTGCTCTCCTAGAACCAGAGGAACACGTCTAGAACCTTGGGGAACACTGGTGTCCCTATGTCGGCCTGACTTTCTCTGTAGGCTCCTCAGAGAGCCAAGCAATTGTCTGCGGCTTTTCTGAAGGGGCCTCCAGGGGTTCTCAGCTACTTCACACACTCATACTTTTACATGTGCTGTTCCTCGGACCTGGAATGCCCCCGCCCCCTGCCCATCACACTCCTCCTCCAAGTCTCAGTGTAAATGCCACTGCTTCAGGGAGTCTTCCCATCCCACTCCCTGCTAATTGTGTGCAACTGGCTCATGGCCATGATCACATCACATTGGGGACATTCATTCCTGGTGGGCCTCCCTTCTCAGATGGAGAACTCCTCTGGGGTAGGGCCTTCACCAGAAGACACACCAGTCCCAGGCCAGTCCCAGAGGAGTCCCCAAATGCTTACAAAGCTAAGGAACCATAGATATGTGGATAGCACCCCCAGGGACATGGCTGTGTGTGAGGCAGACGCAGACCTGCTCTCAGGGAGCACGCACCCTTCCTGGAGAGAAAGATAAAAAAATAGGGTGAAGGAGAAGTGCAGGTTGAGCCATACCAAGGCACCTGATCCAAACTAGATGGGCCAGGAAAGCTTCCTGGAGGAAGCAGCAGACAAAGGCCTGGAGGAGCCAGAGATCTGGGCTGGGGAGGTTAGCCAGAGCTAGAGCCTGTAGGGGCCTGTGGGTCTATCAGCCTGAATTGTATGAAAAGCAATTGTCCAGGGTGGGCTTTTCATCTCAGGGTATGAGTTCTAGGACAAAAGGGAGACTCAAGGAGCCACCTTCCTGAACCCTGGAAGGCTCGTCACAGCATTTAACTCCTTAGTTCCAGTTGGAGGACTTCAGGTTAAGAGATATTTGACTTGTTGTATAGTTGTATAGGTTGTGCACTGCACCAAGCCATGATCCCTGAGGGAAGGCTGCGTCAGCACAAGAGAAGGGGCAGCTTTGCTGATTCACACGTAAACACCATATAAGCTAGTGAACATGGTGTGTGTGTGTATGTGTTATGTGTGTGTGCCCATGTATTCATGCTCACATGACCACACAGTATGCTTTTCAAATTCTATTTTCTCTCCTGGTGGGAAGGCAGGGCCCATTTGCTAGGTGGAATTTGGGGAGGCAGATCCCAGAAAGCTGGGAAGCCCAGGGACACTGTTGGTCCAGAGTCCACCAGGACATTGAGCTGATGGCTGGGGGCAGTGGGGCCTCCTCAGGTAATGTAGCAATTTGTCATATTAAGTCATTTATTAACAATTGAATCCCCCTTGATTAATCTCTCAGAATTAGCCAGTTGCATTTCGAGCAATTAGGGTTAATTACAGCCTCATTTGGCAGAGGAGAGAGCTCCGTAATTATTTCATGAACAAGGCTGGGAGGCAGTGGGATGCACCGGCAGCAGTGTCCACAGCGTCTCGTCGCACATGTTGGATGGAGTAATGACATAGTTAAGTGTAATTGGGCTGCTCCTGAGCAGTGGCTATTGAGCGAAGATGCCCCCAGTCCCGCCAGCATCTGCCTGGGTTTGCATTACCGGGGCACAGGACAGATGTGCCCTGGGACCACTCCAGGTTGGGGCAGGAATGAAGAATAGTCAGGCACTTTCTCACTCCTGGTCTCATAAAGCCCAATGTTTAAACATTGTCCGGGGAGACATCGTGGACCGAATCTCGCCTGTTTCAGGACATAGAAATGCCTTGAATTGATGGTGGAAGCATTTCCCTTTGTGGTAGGAGGCAGTGATGTTTCCTGAACCACCTTTAGAAGAGGGGGCCAAACTTCATGGGCAGCAAGAATGCTTTGACATAGGCCAGGCTGAGTTCGGTTTCCATCTCTACACCTCACCACCCAGGAGAACTCTCTGGGCCTCTCAGTTTCCTCCTGGGTGAAATGGGGGTAATGATGGTACCTCCCACATGAGGTGAACCTAAGGACTAAGTGAGATGATAGAAATATCTAGCATGGTGTCTTAAGATCGTGGGTATTGAGGAAATGGCCTGCCATTGATCTTATTTGTAAATTCTGTCTCATTTTCATTTCCCAGAAAAAGACCTGAGACTTGAATAATACCCCCAGTGTAGGAAGATGACCTAGCAAACACTCCCATTGTGGGTTTTGTTAAGCTTCTATGCCCAAGGCTAGTGGTTTGTTCATTTCAGGAAGCTTCCCAGCCTTGAGAGTCATCACCACATGAAAATATATTTGCTGGACCCTGCAGAATCATACGTGAAATTCACATTTACTTGGAAAAACTGAAAATGCTTGCTTTTATTGAGATTTCTAATGAATGAATGAATGACATTGAGAAACGGAGCATAAAGGGCCCCATACTTTATAATTTTACCAATTTTCTGGAAACCATTTTCACTGGGAATGAAACATAAGGCTTGGCTGACCTGCTAAGAACCACGTGGATTTCCAAGAAGGAAAAAGGTATCCTTGCCTAAGAAAGCCCCAGCTAATGTGTCTTCCATCTGGAAAGTCTTTGTAAACCTGCTTGCGACCTGCCCAGTTCAGTTATACACAAGCACTATTTTGAGAGAGGAATGTGGATAACTTTGCAGGGGTGGGGACAGCTGTCCCTGTACGAGGTCTGCATTGCACAAGCTAAAATCTTTATGAAAATCTTCCCAGAGAAATGATGGCAGTTGGGTCAGGGTTAATGACTCAAGACTGAAAGAAGAAAATAGTTGCCATCAAGCCGATTTGACTTGTGTATCAGGGTAGAGCTGTGCTCCATGTCTTTTCGATGGCTGAGTTTTTAGAAGTACACCGGCCTTCCTTCTGATGCACCAGGTAGACTAGAAGTGCCAACTTGCCAGGAAGGAGGCTAGAAGGTCATTTGCACCACCCAGAAACTCCAACCAAAGATTCTGCCATCGAGTCGATTCCGACTCATAGCAAAGTAGATTACCCAACCTTCCTTCCGAGGAGTGGCTGGTGGATTTGAACTGCCAACCTTCTGGTTAGCAGCCAAATGCCTTAGGCACTATGCCACCAGAGCTCCTATAACCAAAAATTACCATCATTAAAATTCAACAAATGCCTGCTGAATGTTGTAAATTTTTCAGTTGTCTGACCTGGTGCCTAAGGCCTGCTCTCCAGAGGCGGGTGTCTGCCAGCGAGCCTTCCATGGAGATAGACAAGGATGGTACAAAGAGGTGGAAGCCGCCAGAGAGGGATGGACAGGGGGCTTTGGGAGCCCAGAGGATGAAGTGGCCTGTTCTGCCCAGGGCATGGGGGTGGGGCAGGAAAGCTCTAGAAAGGAGATGGCATATGGGCTGGCAGAAGACCAGGAGTTTGGGACAGAAGAAGGGGAATAGGCTATTCTAGGAAGAGGAAAGAGCATAGGGCTGGCCCTGAAGGTCAATGGCCCCTTGGGTCAGATAAGATAGAATGAATGGCTGGTGTTTTTGACAGGCCTTGCATCTCACCAGATCATTTGGATTTGAGTCTATAGCTAATGTGGAATCCACCATGGGTTTTGAGTTGACAAGAGATGCACCAGGATTCCTAAGATCACTCTTAGCTCAGGGAGAAAGGTGAATAGGAGTTGAGGAGGTAGCTGGAGCCACCACTGGTGAGATGCTCCCTCAGCCTTAAATGAGTCTCTAGCTATGGGGCTGAACATGGGGAGGAAAGGTCCAGAAACTTGCTGGGGAAAATCAATTGCACTTAGAATCTGAAGGAAACAGGAAGACAGAGATGTCCAGGATACCGACCTTCTAACTTGGTGTCTAGATCTCTTGATGGTTTTCACCTTTGAAGCTTCTGCTTGCTGACCACCAGAGCTTGGGCCAGATCCTCTCATCCACATGTTTAAACTCAGCTTTCTCTGAGGATTATCCTGGAGGAGCCACTACAATCTAGATTATGTTAGGTTTTGATCTCAAGCATCTTCCATGCCCTGGGAGTCTCTCTCCCTGTCCCCATGAGTGGATGGCCTATCCAGCTGAGCGGATACTTAGGAGTTGAGACCATGGTGGTGAGGGCTGTATTAAGAGTATGATGCTAGGCTTTTGCCTCATCTGGTCCTCCTACCAGCTCCCAGAAGGAAGTCTTAGTCTCTCGGCTTGCAGGTGAGAAGACTGAGATGAGGAACTTGCTCATTTTGTAGGATTTATGCAGGTTTTTGAGGCTACACAGGTCACTGGGTGACACAGGAAGTAAATGCTCAACTAATAACTGAAAGGTTGGTGTTTCAAACTCACCCAGCAGCACTGTGGAAGAAAGGCCTCTTGATCTGTTTCCATGGAGGTGATGGCCAGGAAAATCCTGTGGAGCTCAATTCTCTTCTGTAACACATGGGGTCCCTGTGAGTTTGAATTGACTCACTGGCCTTGGGTTTGATTGTGTGTTGTGTGTGTGTGTTTGCACAGTCTGACTTCTTGCCTCTAGGTCTGCAAGAGTGTAGATTGGCTCTTGGTTTGAAGTTAGTCGAATCCGGAGGAGCCAAGCAGAGTTGGTCTCCTAAGAGTCTGACAATGTGGGCTCTTTGTAAGTTATGCCCTTCTCTTGTGCATGCAGATTTAAATGTATCCCTGTGTACACATACACTT